AAATAAGTCAAATGAATAAACAAACTATCAAATTTGTCTCATTTTCATTCTTCGTAAAGGTCTGATATGAAAACAAAAACAAGAAAAATAGATAACGTATGTAAACCTTTTTTTACCGCAGTACTTATAAACCTTCGTTTTTTTTTGCCATCATATTAATCAATCTTTTTGATTAAACATGCATTTTTAAAAATTATCGTGGCAAGCCATCATTGTCAGCTTGTCAAGCTGAAGGTAATCTATTTTATTTCTCTCTGTTCATATGTTGTTGTTGTTTTGACTTTATTGCACTATCTCAAAGCTGTTATTCAATATTCATTTTTAGAAAGAAATTATCAACTCTAATTACTTCACAGATCTGTATGTCACTACGGATTTTCTCAATTTTAAATTGGCTCAGCTAAGAATCATGCTTCTCAAAATCACTGCTTAAAGATTGATTCGGTGAACATCGATTTTGAACAGATGTTTTCATTTATTTATTTATATTCCAGAGAGAGTTCCCCAAAAACTGACTAGTAAATGTACAAATATTGAAAATAACACGAGTATTAAGTCATCTGTTGATAATGAGTGAAATTCTATAAAATATCCAAAAGCTGATATAATTAATTGTTTGATGCGAAAGAAATTATAGCGAAAAAATGCTAATTCATTGGTATAATAACCTTAACAATAGCATGCCTTTTTTTGCACCGTGACCACCACCAATTCATTACATTCAACATCAAGCTTTAAATTTTTGAAAAATGACGGATTTATTGATGAAAAATGCATTATTTCTTTCAGTTATTATCTCTCTGTTTTCTATCATTTTTGACCAGAAATGATACACTAGGAAAGCTTCACATTAAACACAAAAAAATATTATCTGAGCATTGTTTCATTTGAAAGTTTTAATAATATCGACCAAAGAAGATTTTCATGAAGTGCAGAGCGAGACGAAATTTTGCTTTTTCATTACTTCTTGCGAAAAAAAGAAGAGTTCGAATATATGTTCATTAAACAAAGATTGATGACCTGTGATCTGATTTTTTCAAATGCTTGCAATGGCAGAACTGTTAGTAGACGTGTTCGAAAAGACTATATGAAAAATATCATGTAGATATTCAGATCAATTCACATCAGTTAATTAAAATACATCGCACAGCTTGGAACAAGAGCTATTCAAAAGATTGATATCTATCATAGGTATGCTTTTATATTTGCTCTAAAACCAAACGTTAAAAAACTGGATCAAGCAATTATTGCTTTTCTAAAGATATTTCAGAATTAAAAATAGAAAGATAAATTGCTGGATTATTCCGATTTAAGTGTATGTATATTTTTCACTACAGGAGTTTCATAAACTTCGCTGCTGTTACGGAATGTGTCTTCACATGTAAGTATAATTAGTATAATTAATAGTTTTTAGTTCAAATATAATTTTTCTCGTTTCATGACAGGAAGCTACTGGTCTGATTATAATGGCCAAATTGTATGATTAAAAAAGAAAGCCAAAGTGCGGAAACGAAAAATAAAAATTTGGATGGATGAACTGTGAGAAATTTTTGTGATGATAGCACTGCATATCATAACGGTTATAATGAATAAATAGTGATGGGCCAGCAACGGTGTTTAGAATAGAAACGGTAACTGTAGTGATAAAGATAGATTTTTGTGGCAGACAGATGGAATATCATGGTGGACGATGAGGAGTAAGCAGATTGTGAGCAGAGCTGAAAAATGAAGGGATGGACTGCGCAGAGTGTGGTTGTTCAGAAGGCATTTGGAGAGAATAACTAATGTGAGTGAGGCATAAGAAAGCGTTAAACAAGGTTGTATCTGATGCTTGAAACGATTGATTCTCAGTCTGCTACCATTACCACTACTACTGCTATCGCTGCTGTTGTTGCTGTTTCTGGCAGTCATGAAATAAGAGAACAAGGCGGATTTCAAAGTATGGAAAGCAATACTTGTACTTCCTTTCTCGCTCGGTAGCTTGGAAATACGAACAGATTTACATGTGCAATCAACAACAGCAACAACGGCACATGCGAAATCGAGCCACAGCATAGCAAGACGACAGAGCAGCAATAGCAGCAGCAGTAACCAGTAGAGGTATTTGGTATCAGTAGATTATTAGGTAAATAAGCGTTTATTAGTAAGGTTAATTTATTAGCTTAGTAGAGGGTGGACAGCTATTTAGGTGCGCATGCATGCATAGTATTTATGCAAGTATGAAGAATGCTTGAGCCACCATGTTCTTGTACAGTTTTAAATACGACACAGAACAAAAAATGCGGGACTCATAGTATGTGTTTGTTCATTTATCACTTATCATCGCATTGCTTTGCGCTGCCAAACAAATTCATCTATATTCTGGATGTTGTTGAACTCGAAAATGCATAAAAACGAATGAGTAGTCACAAGCACCGTTCAAAAAGGTAAAATCTACTTCTCTTAATTTACCTTAACTTTACTTTGTGGCGGTCGCAGTATGAAAATAATATTTAGAAATCATGCTTAATAAACGCATTAAGATTTTTGTTTGACGTGATGATTTGTATACTGTTATTAATAAATTGCTTGCTTAATTACTTAACTATTTGTGATAGAGAACTATTATTGCTTGAATGATTCCCCCACAAAGATTGAAATGTTGACTGCAACGTGAAGCATACAGACAAGTCTTTAAAAATTAGCTTCAGTCGTCAATATTCTTTATTGTTGCGAAAGCAGCTTGTGTATATTTTTTTAATCATTTCTAACTGATGATATGTTAATATTCATATTTCTTATCAATTCTTCCTTGTGACTTCTCAAATTGAATACATTTCAAACTTACATTACTTTGAAATCATTGTGCGATATTAAAGAATTCATTTGTGGTGATATGTCAGCACTACATATAAATACTATTTACATTTACGATTTCAACTATTTCAAAGAAAAACTAAAATCATATATTGCTTTTTAGAATGGCAATGCCTTACTTTTAAAAAGTTACGGAGTAACTATTATTATTTGCACCTATCAAGTTGTCACAGCATTTTTAAGGAAAATATGTAACTAAATAACTCACTGCAGACTAGTGAAAAACATTTCGATAACTAAATTTTCTCAGTCACTAGCAAAGTTCATATTAGCATAAACCTAAAAATTTTCCGTTTGTTTGACTGACAAATTAGCGATGGATGAAGCCACAGTGTTATGAATTGCCCTTGGAATGACTTTTAGTATACTTTTTCCAAGCAACTAATTATATTTCACTGCACTTGCACCCAACACAAACATTGAAGTTACGGATATTGTTGCTTTCTTGCTATCATCATCTTCTCTTATAAAATTCATTTTACGGTTCACTCACATTCATATTTCTTTCCATTTGATTCGTGCTTTTTCAACGTTTTAAAGAGAAATTAACTTGATCCTCTTTATGTGGAAAGCTGCGATTAACATTATCAGTTAGTGC